ACTAGGCTAGTTGGAATCACTTACTCAACATAAATATCACTTGGAGTGTTTTCGCACACCAAGTGTTCGACAATTTGCCTGAACCAAAATTATCTTATTTGTGTATCAAGTTTTGGTTTGCTCTTTAAATCATTGGAACTAGGAATCCTAACAAGTGAATTAGATCATTGATAAGTGTGACTAGTGTTGTGATTCTTCTTCCATATTGTCATTAATCCATAGGCTTAACGCATATCTGGTTTTCCAATAACCGTTTGTTTTAGACTATATTTTCCTCGGCCGCTTCCGCACTAAAAACAATCTTTCAAAACAAATTTTAATTGGTAGCGCCGACTCAAATTTTAATAGGGATCTATTCAATCCCCTCCCCTTCTAGATTCGTGCCATAGTCTAACATGTTGTTGTGGCATCTGAGCTTGCATTGCTTGAACAACTAGCTGATAAGGCATTGGAGCATATTGCACAACAGCAGCATATGGATACGGATAGTAGGGCATCTGATAAGGCATAAGAGTGGGAGCTTGTTGAGAAGCTTACCCTTTCTGCACAGAGATGGCATTTGTTTCGCCCTCTTTCTTCTTGTATCCATTGAAAGTCTTATTGGCATTGGCATTGGCTTGGCTGTTAGAGCCTCCTTGGATTTTTCCGCTCTTTAGACCTTCTTCAATTCTCTCACTGACAATCACTAAGTTAGAGAATCCAGCGGAGACACTACCAATCAGCTTCTCGTAGTATTGGCCTTGCAAGGTGCCCATGAATATGTCAATTAGCTCACGGTCAACAAGAGATGGATGCACCCTTGCGGCTAGCTCTCTCCAGCATTGCGCGTACTCCTTGAAGGATTCGCTGTCCTTCTGAGTCATACTCTGAAGTTGAGTATGATTAGGAGCAAGGTTTGTGTTGTATTTGTACTGCTTGAAAAATGCATCGGCTAGCTCGACCCAAGTGCGCACATTGTTATGTTCCAGCTGCATATACCATTTGAGGGATGCCCCAGACAAACTGTCTTGGAAGCAATGTATCATAAGCTTTTCGGCTCTGGCATAGGCAGCCATCTTGCGATAGTACATCTTCAGATGAATGTTCGGGAAACTGAGACCTTTGTACTTCGAAAATTCAGGCACTTTGAACTTGGGAGGAATGATAACGTCAAGTACCAAGCACATTTTCAAAGCGCTGAGAGAGTTTGATTTATGCCCCTCCATAACTCGGAGTTTCTCAGCTAGGTCTCGGCACATCTTCATAGCTTCAGAATCCTGAGCGAAAACAGGATTGGCAATGGGGATAGCAGCTTGATAATTCTGAACGTCATCATACTGATCCATCAGTTTATCTTCAGCATGAGGAACAGGAATCTGAACCACAATAGGCTGGGCCTGAGGGATAGCTCCAACAGTCACTCCAGGTACTGGGATTGGTTAAGATGTGGTTCCTTCCGCTGCGGTAGTGAAGTTCATTGGCATTCCATAGGGGTTGGGAACAGGGGCCGAGAGCCTTGAGGTAGACACTTGCACCTGACCATTGTTGTTGACGACGGCAGCAGCTTCACACTGTTCTTCCTCTCTTATGGCCGTGAGGAGAGCTTCAAGAATCTGGTCAATCTTTCCTTTGATGGATTCCAACTCTTCTCTGAAGGCAACTTGTTCTTGTTGTATCTGTTCCATTATTCGTCTTGTATAGGCTCTAGTTGCATACTGATGTCGAGGAATCAACTTGATTTACTGGAGAGGAAGGAAGGAGACATGAGATTCTGCTAAAGGATTGGAAATGCAAAATGCACAACATATGAGATGCAATACAAATGATATGCGAGATGCAATGCAAGATACAAGATCCAAGATCACAGGATCACATATAAAACAACTATGAAGCTGGTAACTGTAACAGATAGGTAACCATAATTCCTGCTCAAAGAAAATTGATAGGTAAACCTTATACGGGAAGATCTAGATACTCTACCCATAAACCCACTCACGGGATGGTTTCTATGTTTGGTTCCCAGGATCACGAACACTAGTCGTATTAGCGTCACGCAACAGGCTGGCTGTATTACAACGATAATAACGATAAGGTCTCTCCTGAGCGGAGTCCTCATGCTAGGCTCAAAAGGAGTAAGTCCTCGGAGATTAACACTACACTACCACCATTATTGGAACTGGTGCTAAAAAAGGTTCCCAGAATCATGGACACTTCATTAATCAAGTTGTGCAACAGGCTAGCTGTGTTACAACAAGATCTACGAATAGGTCTCCTCTGGAGGAGCTTTCATGTTAGATCCACAAGAAGCAAGTCCTCGGAGACTAACATTACTCGACTACCAATTCTAAACTATGTGTTCTCTCTGATTTTATCAAAGCTCGGGCGTAGAGCTTTACTAATGATGTCATCCCAAGAATCAACAGGCAAACAAGACAACAAGCATAAATAAAAAAGCACAAGAGAACAAATACATAAACAAAAAGAAAAACAAATAAAAACAACACTCCTCGCAAAACCAAAAGATAGGCTTGACTCTCTCTTGCATGGAGCAAAGTCCCCAGCAGAGTCGCCAGCTGTCGCACCTCGAAAAATCACGGAGACATTTCGGAGAAACGACCCTCGCGCGAAAGGCGCAGAAATGCGGTTCGACAGAGTCGCCACCGAACTTTATTTATCACAAATAAACGGGAGAGGAAAATATCGAGAAAACCTCCTAAAACGAAAGGATAGGAACAGGGCAAGAAATAGGAACAGGGCAAGAAATACCGAGTTATGGTTCACAAGTTATGAAACAAACAAGAAATAGAAAAACTGCACCCTTTCATGGTCGCACAACAGCCGCAAAGCGAGACTGGCTCGCTTTCAGTTTGCACAGCAAACTCAAGGTGAGGTGCAGACAGAACTAAAATTGGTTCACGGTCGCCTAGTAAACTCAAAGCGAGGTGCTCACTTTTTGTCCACTCAAGCTCGCATTGCGGCCATGGCAGAAACAGGTCGCCTTGGGGTCGCGTAAGCTTGCACAGTGACCCAAGCGAAACTCAGAATTCCAGCAGTGCGAAAAGAAGGTCATCCATGGCCAAAACCCCAATTCCTCAACATTCAATAATCCAAAACACATTCGAACACTCACTTAAGCATGTTATAACATTATTAAGCATGCAATCCATCAATTACCACATGAAAACAACATTTGGTTCAATTTTAAAACAAAATTTAACCCACCAATGTTCTCATATTTTTTTCCTAATGCTACACTATCTAATGGAACTCACCTTGATGAAGAAAATTGATGATAAAGATGAATGTTGTTGATGAATTTCCTCTTCTTCCACCATGAGCTCTTCTCTTCCTCTTTCTCCATTTCTTCATCTTACTATCTTTCTCTTTTTCTTTCGATTTTCTTTTCCACCAACATATATATATATATATATATATATATATATATATATATATATATATATATATATATATATATATATATATATATATATATATATATATATATATATATATATATATATATATATATATATATATATATATATATATATATATATATATATATATATATAACACTAATTATTGGTCAATTGGTGTTAGATAACAAAATATCAAATACAAATAATGGTATAAAATATTTGCATTTGAAATTTTGTCATCTAACACCAATTGACCAATAATTAGTGTTATATATATATATATATATATATATATATATATATATATATATATATATATATATATATATATATATATATATATATATATATATATATATATATATATATATATATATATATATATATATAATGGTATAAAATATCTGCATCTGATATTTTGTGATCTAACACCAATTGACCAATAGTTAGTGTTACCGAAATGGCATTTCTTACACTCATTAATATTGGTATATCTCTTTTATTAATAATTATTCTCTCTTCAGAGTTCACTAATTACTCTATTGGTCATAACTGATAACACTTTAAGCAAAGCTCTAACTGACAAAGATAGAGTACATTAGAACTCAGTTGATCTCCACTGACACCCAATTAAGCATTTAAGAGAATATGGGATATTACACTTAGGGTTGAACCTTGATGCAAATCTATTGCAATGGGAAGATCATTTGTTTCTCCATGATGCATCCGCATACTAGTCAATACTCCTTCATACATATATTGAATAACTTGAATATATGTAATCTTAACATCTTTCTTCTTTAGGGTTTTTCACAAAATCTCTATAGATATTTTATCTTATGATTTCTCCAAGTCAACACAAATTAAGTGCAAGTCTTATTGATCTAACCAGCATTGCTCCATCACACGTCAAAGTAGATAAATTGCTTCTATGGTCGACCTCCCAAACATAAAAAGCAAATTGGTTTTCAATGACTTAAGTCTCTTTTCTTAGTCTCTATTCAATTACTTTTTTCCACAACTTCAAAGTATGACTCATAAAATTAATCCCTCTATAATTTGCACAATTTTTAAATATCCTACTTGTTCTTGTATATTGGAACTAAAGTGTTTATTCTTCATTTATTTATGAGTTTGGTGAGCCAATTAATATTTTTTTTTTAAAAAAAATCTACACTTTAATATATATATATATATATATATATATATATATATATATATATATATATATATATATATATATATATATATATATATATATATATATATATATATATATATATATATATATATATGTTTTGTCCAACCTCTTTACTATTACCTGATTAATCTAGTTAAATAAATATAAGTTATTGATTTATTGTATTTTTTATTATGTATTAATTATTGTAAGCAAGTTGTTTATTATGTATTAAAAATGTAAGCGAAAAATTAAAATGTAATTTTGTTTTAAACAATTAAAATGTAAACTAATATCACAAAAATTGATATTATTTAGTTTGTTAGGTGTGAAGGTACATGTGTAATTTATATGAATATAGTATGAAATAAAAACAGCATCATCATTCATTCATATTCATCGGAACTCACTTCTCAATCTCGATGCCTCGTAAACGCTTCGGAATCCAGGAACCCCAAACAGGTACCTTACTAACAACCCACAAAAACATATCATAACCACTCACTTTTTCACAAATTCTTGCATTAACCTTCTAACTTTTACTATTAAATAATCCAGCATCGCACACAAGGTGTTCGATGAAATGTTTGACTCAATAATGTTCTATCTTTTACTGCAGCTATGCAACATGCCCAATACTATCTGAAGAAAATAGGACTAGGGCCAAATAACTACTACTTCTGGAAACAAATTGGGAAGGCTTTGATATGCACCTATACAGTGATGGGTGCAGCGTGGTTATACAACGAGACGTCGCCATTGGGTTGGTGGACGCTGAAGCCAATGCCAAAGGAAGAGAAAGATATGGCTCATTTGTATGAGCGGCGTGAGTTTCCGTATCCCGGTGACTCAGAAGCTATGGAGGAGTTTGTTAAACAAGGTGGAATGATTGGAACAACTATTGGACCTAAAGGAATGGTGGAGAATGATATGGATGAAAGTGATTATAAGAAGGAGCTTAAGGATAAGAAGTTTGAGCAGGAGGCTCAGAAGCTTTGGTTGAGGATGAGGAATGAAATTATTGCTGAGCTTCAGGAGAAGGGTTTTGAAGTAGAATGAATGCATTGAATTGCATCTTCCCTAATTGTATTTGGCTTCTCTTTTTGTTTTCTTATGTGTATCTCTAAGTTATGGGATTGCAGCATATCATTGGTAAGAGCACATTAGTCAAAACTTGTTTGTTTATGTATTTAGAGTAGCTTGTTTTGTGTTTAAAACAGCTACTGGTGTTTCAGATGAAACTTTAGATTGAAAAGCTGTTTTTTGCTAAATAAATACTAAATTAGTTGAAATTAAGTGAAAAGTAAATATGTACTGTCTCAAAATATATTGTCAAGTATAGAAAAACTTTTCTTTTTTTTTCATTTAATACAAGCAGGGTGAATTCTTGCATGAGCTATCGGAATATATGGTTGTAGTTACACTCTGATGCAAAACTTTGCTTTGCAATTCACATGCAAGATGCGGCACCAGACTTTCTGCAATACACAAAGTGGTGCACTTCAGTTTTTAGATTTACAACTCAATCACGAAAGCTTCAAACTGGCAATAGACCTTTCAATTTGGTCAAATTCCATAAAGCAATGTGTATCCTCCAGCGCTCAATTCCTATAGGTTTAAATTGGTCACCACCCCTTAGACATTTTCCTTCCTATTTGGTCCCAGAAACAACCCAAAACATCCTCTCTATCATTTGGTCACAAGGCATGAGTTTTTCCATTAGCCACCTGATTTGAGGATTGTTTGCAGTGATTAATACACAAGTCCTATGCCAATGTTGTTGGATGTGTCGAATTGTGCTGGGTCATAGTTCCAACACATGCATTGGTGGAGAGAGCGGATTCTTCGTGAAGGAGAAAGGAAAACAGAAGAAGTGGATACTTTATGAGGAATCTTCTGCCTTCTTGAGTTTAACACTAATTGATTTTGAACTGTATCAAGAAGCAGAACGCCAACCACAAATGAGTGCAGTTCGGCTCCAGTAGCAAGTTAAGGTTTTGTAGGTTAGGCAAGAAATTACTAGATGTAGGGAATGATGTAAGTTTGGATGTAATAATTATTGCACACAGAAAAATGTTTCTGCATTATGAGCCCTTTCAAATGCCAAAAGCGGAGGATTGGTTTTTCCTACCCCAAAACCCACTGTCTCACGTTTTACATGCAAAAAAAGTCAATAAGCAATTCTAAAAAAAAAAAGTCAATAAACAATGGATACAATTGTATTTTACAAATATGAATCCATGTGTACTAAACCCACCATCATAGCAGGTGGAATTTCGGTTTTTATTTGCTTTTACTTCTCTGATTTACAAAATGTCAAATTATGTGCACACCCAGAACTTGTGCAACTGTGTGACACGTGCCTAAATCTGTTTCCAAAAGAAAACCTTGATATTACTGCATAAACTTATGTACATATACAATACAAGAATTACATTTTGCTGTTATGTCTGCCAAATAGTGAATGCCGGCCTTCTGCTATCAATTCTCCAGTAGCTTTATTCTTTAGGAGAACAATTGTTCCAGAATAACCTCCTTTCCTTCCTAACAGCCTAGAAGTAATCTCTAATTCATCCTGCAATAAAAAAAATGCGCAGATTTAACAAACAAAACGTTTTAAATATATACCAAGGTTCATATTATGGCAAGATGCATGTTAATGCAATTTAAGTAGGGGAACATCAAGTCTGAAGCCAAAAACTTGTAACAGGCTCTGTAGTAAGTGACTACAAATACAACAAACAATACACATCAAAGAATAAGGTATAAAGTCTGAAGTAACCTAAACAAAAGAGTAGGGTATATCTTTACATAAGAGACAGGCTAAGAATAACTTGGAAAAAAATAACACTGTTGGATAGTATATTTGTAAAGGCATTACATTGCAGGCTATACAGGTGAATGGTCTTAAAAATAATTCTGGAGTTCACAACTTTCCTAATGCTATTCGTATAGAACTCTCAAACTAGTGTACTAAGTCTGGTCATGGTAGATAAGACGTATGGTCTGATATGAAGTCATTTTTATATCTCAACCCTATGAAGCATTGCCTGACAAGACACCGGATGCGACATGACGTCTACACCAACACATGTCTATCGGTACCAAATACCCAACAAATGTACGACATTGAACATCTGAAGTGTCTGCACTAAATAGTTTCCAACCTACACATCAGGTAAAAATAATATATGTATCCTGATAGAAAGCAGGAATCAATTTTAAGTATAAAATGAAGCTCAAACTGGCGAAATAGTCTAACCAAGACTCCAAAGCTTGAGATCAAACTAAAAGAACAGACATAAAAAAGATGTACGGAAAACTTACATTAACATGAGCAGTTGAGAGAAAAGAAATAGACATATCAACTGAAACATTCATGGGGAGACCCTCTTCATGGATTACAGCACCTCCCACCTCATCTACAAGTGTTGCAATTGCACCATTTTCCAAGTTTCCATTACTGTCCTGTAAGAGAAGCATAGCAAAAATGTTACACTACAAAGATGATTATAGTAAATAGCAATACACATAATACAAACAAACAAAGAATGAAGCATATTACACCAGAAATTGAAATCACCTGTTTCCCTGTCTCCACTAATATGATAATCACACTTGAATAAATTAAAAAAATTTAACAATAAAAAATAAACATGTGATTTCAGTCCATGATATCAATATGTAAAGGTTGAAAGGAACAATTTTCGACCCTTCAATCCTAAATAGATACATCATGACTACTGTTCCTTATGTTTGGATTTATGGACTATAACGGAGCTTAATGGATTAGATATTTCATTTCATTGTTTGAGTATTTTTGTTAATTTGACATAGTGGAAGTGTGGAACATAACTAATTAGCTTATTCCGTTGCATACACTCTAAATTGGACGGAATGAAAATTGAAGGATTAGATGGAATGGATTTCATCATGTTTTATTCCGCTCCATCCATTATTTACAAATCCAAACAATGGAATTTGATTACTTACCATTTCACTTCATTCAATTTCATCATATACCACCAATCCAAACATGTCGGTGGTATGAGATGGAATGGAGTGGTAAATAATACAATTCTATTTTATGGATTTGTAAATAATAGATGGAGTGGAATGAAACTTGATTGAATACATTACATCACATTCCATCCAATCTTCATTTTCTTATTACATCTGATTTGGGGTCTCATCAATGGAACGAGGTATTATTAATAAAATACTCAAATAATGAAGTGATAGTTATATTTCATTCCGCTCCACTCCACATTCTTTTATGTTCCCTTCTACTTATATTTTATTCCACTCTGCCCCGTTCTATTTCATCAATCCAACCATATCAAAGATTATATGACATTTCAAACTCTTATCTAAGTTGGAAATTCGATTCTTGTAGATTGCAGAGGGTAGAATGTAAACCTTACTCTCTCTCACAATTTATTTTTCAAATAGACATTTTTCATTAACTGTTTCATACTAAAAAATAATCATACTTGCCAAGTTTCACAATTACAATGGAAAAGAGTATACTATACATTGAATTGAAAGTAAAATTGATAGAATGGAATTAAAACATAATATGATGAAACGCGGAAGATAATGAAGTAGGGTTGAGGTGAGTTAGTTACGGTGAGGCGAGGAGGGACTTTGAAAGAACAAGAGACGAATCCGGGTTGGACTTTGTCAACTTTGATGCCGGTGAGAACGAAGTGCTCGTAGAAGCTTGAATCGTCGCCGGGTCTGATGGAAGGAACAGATTGGATTCGTGATAACGCTTCCGATTCTTGTTGGTTTAGCCTCCGCTGCAAGATGTCCTTCGTCTTCTCCATCTTTCGGTTTGTTTGTTTCACTGTTGCAATTTTGACTATTACTTATTAGCAACAACAAAAATTAATATATTAATATGAAAATTTTCGATATATATATATATATATATATATATATATATATATATATATATATATATATATATATATATATATATATATATATATATATATATATCTTTTTTTATTTTACAAATATAGAGATTTTCTTATCATGCAATAAAAATCAATCATGTATACAGATTAGAGATTCGTTCACGATTACACAAAAATTATAATTTAGACAAGGGATATTGAATCATAAATAAAGTGATTGTCATAATTACAAATTTAGATACACATACATACGAAAGAGACGGAAATAAAAAATTAAATTTTTATCTGTAATCTATATTATATATAAATACAAAATATTGTATTTTTGTATAGTCTATTTCTTTATCAATTTTATTTTTATTTTAATGTATAATTTAGTCAATAACTTCTATTAATTTTTTATATATTTTTCTATCTAACTTTCTACTATTAACTTTCTACTTAACTTCTATTTAAAATTAATATAAAATAAAAAATATTATTTAAATTTTTACGTGTGTGCATTAAAAAAACGGACAGGCGGAATGTTCGTCTGAACGCTAATTTGTTATAATAGGAATAACTTTATTTTTAATAATAAATTTTTGACAAAATTGATGATATTATTAATTCGATCATCTTCTATTCTTAAAGATGGTGGGAGGAGGGGTATCAAATTTTCTATATGTAACTTTTACTTTTTTAGATTGTATGCGGATATAACATTCCCATTTTTCTTTATCATACTTGTGTTTATTTTAATATCATGGCTTATTAAAAAAAACAAATTAATTTTAGGCAACACAAAATCTACTAAAAAAAATTATAGTTGTTTATTCAAAATTTAAAATTTGATGAACATTATCTAAAGATAGTTCTGAATTAAAAGTTAATGAAAAATATAGACTTCAACCATGATATATCTAATAAATTAGAAAATTATGTATTTGTTAAGTGCATATGAATGGAAACATGATACAGATTTGACGAAGCGTCATATTTCACTTATTCTATGTAAGTTAAAGGCCCAACAAAACCTATTAAACTACAAAGGTCTGATATAACTTATTAGATATATAACTTTACACACAAGAGAAAAATGAAAGGTAGGTTTAAGAGCAACTTGCGTTTGAAAAACATTTATAAATATTTTCAAAGTTTAAAATTATTTTAAAAATATTTTAGAAATTAGCAGCGGAAATTATGAGTGCAGAACATAAAATGCGGAAAATAAAGATTAACGAATAAAGAGATAATATCGAAAATTATAGAGATTTGTCAAAAAGAAAAAAAGAAAAAAAAAAAGGACCTAATTCTCTCCCCCCCCCCCCCCCCCCCCCCAAGATTTGTTCTGGAGAATATCCAGTAAATCTTAAAAGCTTTTAATACGTTGAACTCTCGAACCCCTTTATAGAAGGAAAATGAAGTTTCTCGCTAATTTCTATCCAAACAACAATCAAAGAAGAGAAACGGTTAGTCTTCCTTCCAAACGATGGATTGACGCGATTACTCTTCTTTCGAAACTTGAAGCAGTTAGTTCTCAAGTTAAATTGGGATATTACACTAGTTTATCTTGAACCAATGTGAGCTTTTAAACCATGTTGAACTCACGAATTGAATTGAGGTTTTGAACAGGCTAACCACAAACCATTGAGATTTTATACTGGACTTATCTCAAACATAAGCAAAATTTTGAACAACTAAGCTTACTATCCAAACCGACTACTTAGAAACTAAATCTCCAAACTAAAGATTTTAAAGGGTTTACCTTCAAACCAAACAAATTATCTCTTATGGATAAATTATTCAATCAAGGTAAAAATATTCCATGGTAAATTGACAATATTCCCCTTTCAGAATTACAAAGATGTCTCACTAAACAAAAGGACTTTCTCGAAAGCCCAATCGATTGCTATTTATCCTTTCTATAGGCTAGATGTCTCACGACAATGGTTATATATCCTTTCCTTCCCTCAAATCAATCATTTAGGATACTTAAAAGGGAAGGAAATGATATATATCCATTTCCGTTCATTAAGACACTCTCTTAAATGATTAAGGAGAGTTTTTGAACAAACCTAATCAATTGTGTGTATGTGTCAATCGATTGGACAATATAAATTTTGTTCAGAATCATTCAGAAAGTTCTAAGTTCAACTGGCACGACTTCAAAATATTTTTAGGAATAGTTTGTTAAGAAAATAGGTTTGGAAACATGTTTTTAGTGTGTGTGATTTAGTCGTATAACTTTACAAAAATGCTCTTTTGCTTTTACAACATATTGTTCACTCAAATGCGATAGGGCGAGCTTTCACTTTTCGAAGTTTCAAGACTTGTCAGGTAGTTCCATCTTATAGACACTTACTTGAATTCTACTTGGATATTAGACTTGAGTTATATTTCATTTAGGTGTTATCATTAGAGGATGTTTGCAGTGATCATCAAACTCATCAAACTCTACTTAGTCTACTTGCATGTTTAAGTGCTTGTTATACTTGCATGTAATTGTCATCACCAAAAGCATATCCATCATGAAAGCTTCCTTAGCCTGTAAAATATGGTTCCACATTCTCCCCCTTTTTGATGATGATAATGCACCTTTTATAGAGATGATAAAAGAAATAAACAAATAGATTAACAGTGGTTAAACTCCCACTCAATTAGATAGAGAGTATACTCTACTCCTCTGGAGAGTATAATTCTCCCACTTTGTCAAAATCAAAAGACAGGTAAAAGATGCATTGCAAAAATTTTAAATATGAAAACATAAGCACAATAAAATTTAGGAAATGGAAAACATCATGCTTTTATTATTTAAAATTACTTAAATTCAATGTACATAAAGCAGGAAATTTCTAAATTTAAAGTGGAACCGAAAAGTAGTGCAAAAAATAAACAAACAAGCTTAAAAATTAAGACAACTAAGTGAGATTATTCTTTGCCATAAGCAATTAAGCATCATCATTCATTTTGATGATCCTTTTGAGTTCTTCCACGTCTTTGGCTATGCTTTGGCATATTTCATAGACTTTGTTGATTGATATGTTTTCTATTTCTTCCAAGTTTTCTTCTTTGATCATTGGTCATCCCTCAATTTTCCATGTTTAATGTGGACCTTCATCTCTCTAAGTGTTGTATAGTTAATCTTGGGGTTGATTTTAGTCTATAACTTCGTCCGTGGTATCAACGTTGAAGGTTTCTAAGAGTTTTGTGATCTTTTTTTCCTAAAGAAGTCTTATTGGTTGGTTTTCTTTGGAGCGGGTCATGTGGTGAAAAATTCCTTCTACCCATTTTGTTGCAACTTCTTGAGTTAAAATCCAAATGGGTATGATATCTTCTCTAAAATGACATAGTTAAGGACGACATTTCTTGGAAAAAGGATTATATTTTGAAGTTGATTGATGATGCGGTCCTTTGGTTTCAAGTGGATTGATTTGAAAGAGAACTTCCTTTTCGACATGGTGTTAACAACAAGGTAGTTTAAGGTTATGGAACACTTGAAGTTTTTTAATCTCAAGGTTCCCTCATAGGTGTAGGATGTTCCTTCGATATGTAGCTCAAATATTCTACCAAAGTTATCATTTTGGATATCTATTTCCACTCCTCTAAGTGATGATCTTAAGGATGTTCCTATAATTTGCAAGTTTGAATAAAACTCTCTTACAAGGTCTAGAAAGTTTTTATCGGGTACCTTTGGGAAAAATTCCTTTAGCGAGGCTTTACTAATTTGAGGGTACGATTTGTGACTTGTCGTGAAGCTTGAGTCCATGAACCATGGTTGGATCACCTTCGTTTAAGGATCATCATCTTCTCTTCTTGCTTTATATTTATTAAACCACCGATGAAAACATCTCTCTTTTGGGAACCTCTATACTTGTGGCTTGATGAGACCATGATGATACTTACGGCAAGAGAGAAAACTCACAGGAAAAAAAGAAGCTAAAAGAGAAGAAATTTGAGATGCAAATAGAGTGAAGGGTGAGTACCTATTTATAGTGTGCCTTCTGATGAATTGAGTGTGTAACTATTGCAAGACATTAATGGACATCTTTCAAATTGAAAATTAGATCAAAATCACTCCAAAAGTGGAGTTCTAGTCTATTGGCTTGTGGCTCCAATCGATTAGATGATCAAATCTTTCAAGATATTTAGTGTTTATCATTGATGCTAGGACCTTATTACCTTAAAGACTATTTTTGGCTTGGATTTGATCTAAAAATATGAGCGCCAAGCTTTTCCTATATATTTTCACAATGTGCCAATTGATTAGGCTTACATCAATCAGCCTTCTTGGTGCTTTTTGGGCTTTGTGCTAAATTTTCTTTTGGCTATTACTTTCCTGCACCTCTGTTTAACTTTATTTACAACTTATTTCAATTAAAATACTTGGAAACTCTTCTCTTTTGTTAGAAAAATAATTTTACATTATCTCGATTACATAGACGATGTAACACAATGCATCATGAAACTTGTCACTTTATCCCTTGGGTGTGGAATAATCGAGGGGTAAAGTGTTCTGCACATGAATTCGATCCCCAACAACTACATTTTTATTATTTTCAAAATTGGACGGCGCGCCCCACATTTTCTCTCTGTTATCAGAAAAACTGAGATAATATAGAAGTATTATTACCTCAGTTTGTAATAATAATCGAGGGTAAATCCTTGTTATTTATTTATTTTTCTATATCTTGGTTTGAACCTGTATTACAGAATCATATTTTTTCTATTTCTAAAACAGAAATATTGTACCTTTTGCTCATTTCTCAAACAGAAACATTGTACCAAAAATATCAATTGTTTACACCATTTGCAAAGTCAAAATGGAACACACATTATAATTTTACAATAAAACTAATACAAATATTTAACCAACAAAAGCAATAACCAAAACAAAAAATCTTGTAGGCCGTCCAAAAATTCTCTTATGTGATTTGTCACCAGTCGTTAAGCACCAATAATTTGAACAACATTTGAAACCAATTATGATCATCAACAAGAGCAACATTAAATATTTAGTAAAAAGGATACAAATAAAATAAAATGAGTAAATATATATATATATATATTACTAAGTGATATAAAATATTTACTTACTATTTTTTCTATATCGATCCCCACTTGTTGATCACGACGATTGGCAAACACATCATTTGAATCATTTTCTTTAGATGAGAGACGACATTTGTTGTGAAAGAAGGGGTTTCAAAATTTAAATCTTGGTTTTCATCACTATCAGGAATATATTTTTGTTGTAGAATAATTGACCATCTTGTGTCATAAGAAACAATGACATAAAAACTTGTTTTGCTTGGGATGCCATGATTAATGCTTCGTTCATATAAGTTGCCTTTTGAAGATCAACTCCTGTGAATCCTAATTCTTCGTTTTTTACACCAATGTTATTGTCAATCCACTTGCACTTAAATAAAGGCACTTTAAAAGTAACATAATTAATCTCCAAAATCTCCTCAATAACTCCGAAGTACACTCTATATGCTACTACATGATTATTATCTTTGGAACTAGAGAAGTACATGGATTTAGCTTCAACCATAACCCCACTATTTTGAATGGTACTACGATCATCCTTTGATTTTGTATAGAATGAAAATTTAGTAATGCCGTATGCACTCCAAGTTATTACATTAAACTTAGGCATATGTGACATCCATTTAATCGTCTCATATGTACTACTATCTTTAGAAACCCTTTCATTAAATCAAGTTATGAAAGTTTTGTTATGCTTTGTCAACAACAATTGTTTACTCATATGAGGAAATTTTTCCTTGATAAGACTTTTGTGAACGAACAAGTAAGGTTGAACTTCATCAACGTTATTCAATATATATAAATATGCTTGAAGAATTACACCTCGATCAAATGTCATCACATTTAAACCTATAATACCTCTGGCATCATATCTTCATTCATGACGAGACTCGGGAATTCCTATAGAGTTCTCTTATGAAAAATAGTTTGTACAAAACTCAACAACTTCTTCTATGATGTCCGTTCAACGATCGAAGCTTCCATAAAATGATCTGGCCAAGTTGCAGCTTTCTTTGTTGAATGAGTTGTCCACTCTGGTGATGTTAGTGGTATATACAATCCTGATTTCAAATAAACTTGAACAAAATGCAGTGATTTAGAAAGCCACCCAATACACGTAATTCGATCAGCTAGATTTTGAGGTAGGGTAGTCGACAGTGAAAAAAATGTTTATGAGAACTCGTATCTTGTTAGATCAATACACATCTTATTATATGCACTTGCTATAAAACAACTCATTTTAGGGAAGTGTGTCCATTTTTCCTTCAGTGTTGGATCGCTAACACAAAGAATAAAAGGTTCATGAATTGCATCAAAATACTCTTTTTTTCTCCCATATATCACAATATATGATTCTTTATGATTCTTCAATTCTTTGATAATTTGTTGGCGAATAAATGTATGTTTCTCTTTTCCTTTATTGAGAAAAGTAGAAACAACTCTATAACGGTATTTACCTTCACCCTTAACATTGGTAATCTGTTCAATGTATTTGTGGATAAAAATTGGTATTTCTTCGATGCATTGGATTTTTTGGTAAATGTGGTGAAGAAGATGGTTTGCTAATGCAAATTTTTTTTTGTGATTTTGAAGTTGGAGAATCCGAAAAAGTTTGTCAACATGTTCAAAATAGGAAGGAGACTGCATCGTTGAATTGTCACTTGGTGTTGGTTTGACTTTCTTAGGAGCATCTTTTGTTTTTACCAATAGAGACGGTGGATCTATGGTTTATGGATAAGCAATTTTCCTCACTTGCTCTTTGATGTGAAGTTTCATGTTGTCATCGACTTTCAAAAATCTCTCTTGTATCATTTTACATTCGGTCAAGATATAGATATTCGATTTAATGTCCTTCACAACACTATCGGAAACCATATATCATCCTAAGTGTACAACCATACTTTGAACTATCGGACCTACTTTTTCAGCTCGTTTGCCTTCGTGAAATTAAAATCTAATCCTGCTCAAGATATTTTGTCGACCAACTGCGAATAAAGATTGTTGTCTCTGAATCTAAGTTACAACACTGTAATGTTGCGACAAAATGATGTATGTATCACATTATGCTATGACCAACCAATTCTTTAGTGTAGCATGGAAAAATTTAACTTGGTTAATTATTGTATTTCCAAAGTGTCTAACGTGATCTGTCCAAGAAGAAACAATCTTCTCCTTCACCTGGCCTAGAATTGTACTTTCAACAATATTTTGAGAAATCTGGATATTTCTCACACACCTTCTTGAAAAGTATAACATATTTGGCATATAATTCTTCCGTAGAATAATTTTTATAACATTTCATACATCTTTTGTTCTTTCCAGTATCACGCTACCTTTGACAATTTTCCATCTTCACCCTTTATTTGTTTGGTCCCTATTGCAGGTTTAAGTCGATTTCTCACATTATTTGTGATGTGATACCTACAAAATATACGTATGAAGTAGGAAACACCTTTGCAATAGAATTTGTCAATGTGGTAGCGCCATTGGTGATAATCGCATTCATCGTGTTTTCTTTGTCCCTCAATATTGTCCAACACACTTCTAAAGCTTAAGTAATGTTGTCATTTTTTTTGCTTTCCAAAAATTCAAACCCAACGGAATAAGTCTTTTTGGTAGAGGTAACACCAACAATTTTCAATAGTAAAAGCTTGTAATTATTGGTCTTATACGTTAAATCAATAATTAGTACAATGAGAAATGTGTTGAACAACTTTATGGAACCAAAATGATTCTAAAATATATCTCAAATAGTTTCTCCATCCTCGCACGCTCAATACCTAAATACACAATTTATCATTTAGATATTTCAACAATTGTTGTATTTCAGTTTTATCCTCTCTTATCGCCTTGTTGTTTCAAACAAGAACGTTGTATACTTGCTTAATATTTGAGATGTTTCAGAGTCTTTTAAGTTTCAAAGTTGCAAGTATGTTTTTGGGGCGCACCATGTTCAATGTCATGTCAGAAATAATTTTCTTCTCTTCAGGCGTAAGGTGACATGCAATTGGATAACCTACTAACTTGTCACACATGTCGTGATTATGTGTACCACAAATCACATTAAATCTCTATTTATTATTTGCCAAAAGATATCCATGCAACTTAAAAGGACACTCACATTTCTTCAAACTGATGTCATCTCGTTTCAACTTCCAGAGAAGAGTTGCATACTTGCCATTTCTTTCGCATCTCAGTGTCACAAATGCAAGTTTTCAATCTGAACCATTATCTGACTTTTTGATTACAATGTCAAACCCCAATTTGCCTGTCTATGTGCGAATCCGTTGGAGTATATGATCATGAACATCAAACTTTTGTCCATTTTTAAATTGGTTGCCAACATCTACATTGACATCAACATAATTGGCATACATATACACAATAAGTTTGAGGAAAACATCATAATGCACAATATCTAAGGTCAATCATAATAGAAAATATTCAAAAAACTGACAAAACTGAACACTGAACTAATCTAAAAATACATTTTCGTATCCATTCACCTAGAATTTGGAAATGTAGTTCCAAACGTAACGTTTATTTTTTCAACTCAAAAACTAGATTAATGTAAGCAATTTGTAGAAAATACACGAATTTTATCTTAAATTCCAACTTTTACTTCTTTTGGTGTGATAAAACACAAAAATGATATTTTGACAATAAAATAATATTTTTTTAAAGAGTTTTAAGAGAAAAATGGTCTTTTGATTATAAGGAAGAAAACATGTAAGATCTTGTTTATTAAATTTTCCATAATTTTAAAAATACACTTTCAGAATTATCATTAACACGCAAATGTGACATTCTTTTAAATTCTAGTTTCACAAATTTAAAAGTATACATTTTAATTTGTCACTGAATTATTTCCATACTAAATTTTAAAAAAATGATATGTTTTACGTCGTTCATATTTTTATGTGAAAATGATATGTTTAAAAATATATTTACAGATTTTTAAAATTTTTTTTAAAATTTTATAAGATGTTTCTCAACCGGTTAGTGTCAGAGAAACAATCCTAATTGATGACCGAAGAATTTGACATTTTGTGATGGGTCTAATCAAATTCAGTTGAAGAGTATAGAAACTAACCTGACCCAAAATATTGGCACATCATTGTGTTTCTCCTTGAACAACGATTAACTGATTGACTCCAAAGTTTTAACACTTTAAAACTCTGCTAAAGATGAGGTCATTTTGGTAATTCAAAAGTAGCACACTATCCTAACAACCCCGGTGCCACAGCCACAACTAACTCCGTCTGGACCACCACGTCGATGTCCTCCGCCATCGTTTTCGGCGGAGCAACCGCCTTAAAATTACCAACATTATCCCAAAAACATCGTGGCGTAGTCGCCAAGTTCTACTCACCCAAACTCAACCTCACACGTTCGGTATTTCAGAAGAGAATCCAATATCACAATGGCTCAACCTCTTTCCGTTCCCTTCTCCGCCACCGCGTTTCTTCCAACGACGCACAGTTCAACTCAGCTCCCGAAAACAACATCCAACAACAGCCGAGTTTCACCGAGTTTATCACTTCTGAGCGAGTCAAAGTGGTGGCGATGCTCGCTCTCGCTCTAGCCCTCTGCAACGCCGATCGTGTAGTCATGTCCGTTGCCATGGTTCCTTTATCGCTCGCCAACGGTTGGGGCCGCGCTTTCTCTGGAATCATTCAGGTCTGTCAATGTGTTTCCTCCTCACATACACACTCACGCACACCAAATGTTTGATTAATTGACCATGCTGTTGTTGTTGTTAATTGATCATTCGGTGGCTTTTGATGCAGTCTTCGTTTCTGTGGGGATATCTGATTTCGCCTATAGGTGGAGGAATATTGGTGGATAAGTATGGTGGCAAAGTGGTCATGGCTTGGGGTGTGACACTGTGGTCACTTGCTACTTTTCTTACTCCATGGGCTGCAGAGACCTCTCTTTTGACTCTACTTGCTGTCCGGGCTTTGCTCGGTGTGGCTGAAGGCGTGGCTCTTCCTTCCATGAATAACATGGTGGCCAGGTATTCAAACTTTTACTAATGATAGGAGTAGGGATTTAGAGATGAGTCTAGCCAGCGTGTGTTTTGCATTTTCATGGATTAATGTAGGTCCCACTTTTAAACTATGAAAGATGTGAAGTGATCCTCATTAATGCAGGACTAAGGTTAAGGAATGAATATATTGTCTTGGTTTCAGGCGGTATTGATTTTGATTGGGAACATTAAAGGCACAAGTATGTAGTAGTTAATGATTCTCCATATATGCACCAAAAATGTGTCTGCAAATGGTTTTTTTCCCTTGACCTGGGTTTCAGGTGGTTGTGTGTTTGACAGATCATATCTCAGATGGTCCATAGTAGTCACTCGAGCTCTAAGCCCGAAAGGTGAAAAAGCTCAAAGTAGGACTAGGGTTTAGACGGGTATATCCTAGACAATCCAGGTTGGTTTGCACAGTTGTAAAGTTTGAAATGGTAACTGGAAGTCTAAGTATAGTTTCTGATTGTTTTGACCTTATATCTTATTTGTGTTTTTATTATATGACATGACATAACTTGCTCTTTGGTCATTGCTATTGTATGAAGTTGATGGAGCCAGAAAGGGTTGAAAGTTGGAATTGATAATGAATAATGTTTGGTTGTTCTGTTTAGATGGTTTCCTCAAACTGAACGGGCAAGGGCTGTTGGCATTTCGATGGCTGGCTTTCAGCTTGGATGTGCGATAGGGCTCACACTTTCTCCCATTCTCATGTCGCAAGGCGGTATATTTGGTCCATTCGTGATTTTCGGTTTGTCTGGGTTTCTTTGGGTGTTGGTATGGTTGTCAGCAACATCGAGCACTCCTGACCGAAGTCCTCAAATATCAAAATATGAGCTGGAGTATATACTGAATAAAAGACAACAGTCTTTTCCGGTGGAGGCAAATAAAGTTAAAGTTATCCCTCCTTTCAGACGCTTGCTTTCAAAGATGCCAACATGGTCTCTAATTGTCGCAAACGCCATGCATAGCTGGGTAATGCTTCATTTATACATCTGTTTAGTGTTTTGGTGCTGATGTTGACAATAGTTGTTGACAATAGTCTAAATTGAGAGCAGACTACCATTTGTTATTTCTGCATACCCGAGTCACTGCAACTCACAGAATACAGAAAACACGAATTAAAATGCACAAATACTGGAATAACAGTGTATTCTGAAAATAAAAGATATCTGCAAAAGGATGAATATCCTAATGCCCACAAGACCAAGTTTCTATAGAGAACAATATTCTCTGTTCATAACTAACACAAATGATTTCCAAAGATGCCATTCTTCTCTACCCTCATTCCCTTTATAACTGACTCCCACTACACTGTTTAATTTCCCTTTCTCTCTCTGCCACGTGGATAGTCCTAATAAACCCACTCTTCTATTTCTTATTCCTTCTAATTCTATCTCAATCCCATTGGATACTGGGCTAGGGATTTGCAGCTGTGCTAACAGCTCATTTGGCCCACATCTATCATATGGGGTCCTAACAGTTATGACCCAACTGGATTCACTTATCTTATTGCATGAGGTAGTCCTCGCCTTTATTACCATATTTTGAATAAAAAATTATAATGCATGTTTCTTAAATGTGACACACAAATATGTATCACACTGTTGCAATTATTATTCATCCAAAATCATGTTTGTTTCCCTTTTTAACTTTATTTTTTATTATTTCACAGGGTTTTTTTGTTGTTCTTTCTTGGATGCCAATATACTTCAACTCAGTAAGGCTAATTATATATAGCTTTGTGATTGACATGTATCAAGCAATAGATATATTTAGACATCAATGCATAAACTGTGTATAAATGAAATCCCATTATAGGTGTATCGTGTGGATCTCAGGCAGGCGGCGTGGTTTAGTGCCGTTCCGTGGGTTGTGATGGCTATCATGACTTACCTTGCCGGCTTTTGGTCAGATATGATGATACAAAGGGGTACAAGTGTTACTTTGACTCGTAAGATTATGCAGGTATGTCACACCCACATTGGGAAAAAATGAGAGTCTATGGACTTCAAATTTATCCCTTGATTAGAGGAATTGTGAGATTATCAGCTATGAACTTTATCTGATTTTGTTAAAATATAATATTTCTTTTACTGCTGTAATGTTATGAGTTGCGACAAACTGTAGGAAGAGTATCTTTTGGTAGAATTTGAGATAGAGACCAACCTTTTAGTGACTATAAATGGATCTGGAACTGTATGACTACAATGAGTGATTATTTATGCATAAATACCAGCTTTGTCGCTATCTCAATTCTTAACTTCTTTCAAGATCATTTTTCTTTCCTAATCTGTCAAGCTTTAATATTGTCTTTACATACAATATCATCTTTCAAGTCAGAGCATTGAGAAATTAGCAGTTAAAAGTATCAGCTTGCCCTGCTGATGGGTGGCTTAAAGCAATGTGAATTAAGTGCTTCCAAAACATGAAAGCACTTGGTTGTGCATTTTAAAATAGGGATAATATGTTAAAATTTTAATGTGTTGCTTTTGGACAAAATACGGTGATGTCTTTTTATTCATGTAACTAATTCCCCTCACTAGGATAAGGCTTGATTTGTTATTGCTCTGGTCTTCAGTACTTATTTTACAGTTTGGCTTTGATTCTTCTCACTGTATATTAGTTTTAATGGATAATACTAATTCTTCTCTTTTACTGCAGTCCATTGGTTTTGTTGGTCCTGGAGTTAGCCTCATTGGTTTAGCAACAGCAAGAAACCCTTCGACTGCTTCTGCTTGGCTTACATTAGCCTTTGGCTCAAAATCTTTCGGTCACTCTGGTTTTCTTGTGAACTTTCAGGTCTCTGATTTCAGTCATGTAAAAGATACATACATATATATTTGTTTAGAAGTATTGTAACTAATTTATATTCATTTTATTTCTTATAACAGGATATCGCACCACAGTACTCTGGTGTTTTACATGGTATGATAATAATTTCTACTTAATCTTGTAAACCTCCTGATACTGTATAGAATTTTTTGTTCAAAACACATTTATTGTCATTTACAAAACATTTTTCATCAGTAAATTCCTTTGAAATTGTTTTGAGCCTGTATAATTTATTCTATCTCTTTGTGGCAGCTGGCATCTAATTAATTTGATAGTTATATTTTTGGTCTAGAATTTGGTAATTCCATTCCCATCTCTTTGCGGCAGCTGGTATCTAATAAACTGGAGAATTTCTATGTTGGACTTTTGAACCTATTTGAATATAATTGGCCAAGCTGTGCTATGGTGGTAAAAACATGTGCCAAAACCCTTCATGGAATTTTATGAAACATGGGAAAATAAAACACGTTGGAATTTACCTATTGGAGTTTACTATTAAATTAAACAGGATTCTTACTGCTTGGTAGTGGCATATATGACTATGTATAGGTAAACTAGGGGAAATATGTGCAAAATTTTGTAAGAGTTGAGAAAATATCCGTTCTTGTACCTAGATTAAGATTTTTTACACCGAGTATTTTTTTGATTTCTCGTAGGAATGGCAAATACTGCTGGAACACTTGCTGCTATAATTGGAACAGTTGGAGCTGGCATTTTTGTTGAGCTAGTTGGTTCGTTCCGAGGATTTCTGCTGCTTACATCACTCTTATATTTTCTTGCTGCCCTTTTCTACTGCCTATTCTCTACAGGAGAAAGAGTAAATTTTGATGATCCTGGTGAGTACGTATAGTATGTTTACCTTTAAACTTGAAAATTTATCTAAAATTTACTCGAGGAATACTAGTCTTGGATTTGTACATATACTTCATTCTTGGGGTTATGCGAATAGATAGCTTTACTCAACAACTTCTGAAGAATCTCTTCTTTTTTTTAATGGAAAAAAAGAACTTATTGGGTGCATCAATCATGAATTTTTCGGTAACATGAATAATTCATATTAAAATATAAAGCCATGTCATTTTCTGTGACATTCAATTTGACGCATTTACACATGTTTGTATAAAAAGGATTTGCTCCCTTGCATCTCATCTCACGATAAAAAAACCCCTAATATGCTGTGCATTTGCATAGTTCTTTTCAAAATCATGTAAAATTTAAAATATCGATTTAAAGATAAAAAAATACTTGAGAAAATATTTAAAGAATTTAATTGGTATGAGTAAAATTATTTTACAGTGTCAACCAATCACTCTCGTGTATCCCGCCACATCAGATTGTAATTTTTAAGTTAATGGTATGACATGGCAAATTAATAAATTCCTATTGGATAACAGTGTAAAATTATTTTACACTGTCAGTGCATACCAATTAAACTCATTTAAAATTATAAAAACAATTCCAAAATTAGTATACACACTCATCTCAAATACAAACTAAAACTAAGGGATAAATAGTCATTTTGGTCCTTCAATATGTGAGGAGTTGTTGTTATAGTCCTTGAATATATTAAAATTGCTAATATTTTCCAAACGTCTCCTTTGTTTGTAATTTTATAGACTAAATTGGCTTATAAAAACACATTTGAAGTCCAAAATGATTAACAAAAGACACATATAAGGGCTAAAATTACCAACTAAAAAGATACTTGAGGATGTGTTTGTAATTTCATTACATATATGTATTATAATGACAACAATTCATCAAAATAAATGTTTACCCAAATTAAAAAAAGATTAAAAAAACATGAAGATAATATGCATAATTAAGTGGAATTAAGAAATTAAGAAGGCTTTTTAACCTCATCATGTTCTACTCTATTTATAAGATGTCAAGAGCGCGCGCACTATATTTCATATGTTATGTCTATCATTTTCTAAGTATGTTTGCCAAGCACTTCCTAGTTCCTATATTAAGAAAAACTGAAACATTAAAATTTTTTTCCACGTGCTAAATGTTTCTTGAGAGATTTAATAGGCTCATGATGTGCATCAACACACACATACAAGTATGTTTTACTTGAGATTCTTGCTATCATGTTATAAAAATGCTTTACATTGGTTTCTGCTTCACGTTGTAATAGTTATTTGATTCCTATTCATTTGTAAATTGCTGATGAAATGCGTCTCTAACTCCTGTACAGTTGGCTGAAGAGTACCGGAAGCTAAATAGAGTACTACTGTACAGTTCAATTACTTGTACATGAGAGGAGATTAAGTTTAGTGTGACAGATGGTTTTCATTTTCTAACTGTCATGTTCTGTTGTATAAGAGACATCAACCATCTGCAGGGTGTAAAATTGATGTATAGTTTTTTTGCCTATATGCATTGAGGGTCTCTTCTACATGCATTTGATCTTTTTGGTGTTCTAACATGTTGGAGAATGTATTGGAAATATAAAGAACAAGGACAACATATGGATATGGGGTGGAATAAGGTGCACCACTTTTAAAGGAGTGCAGCGATGTGTACCTTAAATGTTTACTTCTATATCCCCACTCCCCATATCATCCCTTATCCCCTTTTCCAACCTTTCCGTAATCTTTCACTTACTAAGAATCAATTGCAATTGCAATTGCAAGTTGGAGGAAAGATGTGGTGATTTATGTGATTATGATGGCGTTGGAAGATGAGCGAATTGTGTGTAACTGGCGTGGTTTGGTCTTGTTGCAATTTTACAGTCTTCGCTTTGTAACTGTCTTGGAAGATTCAACCTCAAGTGGATATTTGATTCTAATTTTGAATTTCATAAAATTGATTTTAGAAATGTATAATTAATTTTAAAATATTTCTTTGTTATTTAGTAGAAATAATCGTCTTTAGAAATTGATTTTAATCTAAAGCAAAAATTTTAAACATTTGACTTTTCAGTTGTGTTAACCTCAAATTATTGTTCAGTATAAATGAATGTATTTAAATATAAATTATTTTACATACAATGGTATTTTAATTAATTTTAATTTTACAAAATTATTTTTTATCACTGTAAATTAAATATTTGTTAGGAATTTTATGATATGGGAAGCTCGCAAGTGATGGGAGGGTTTGGGTATCTTAATTAATGCTACAATAAAAGGACTAGAGTGCATGCTTTTAATACGACTAAAAAATGTATATATAATATTTCATTCATTAGTATTGTTCAATATAATGTGCTATTTCTATCAATACTTTGAAGCCATTTAGAGATGTGACCATCTTAGCAATATTAGAATTGTTATAATAAGTAGAAAACAGATACCTACAGTGACTTATATTGTTGCCAAATTTTATTATATAATCCTTTTTGGAAGAAGAAAAACTATCCACCACAATTTTATCATCTAGTTCATAATCAACTGGGTTTATATTGAAGTAAATTGAAGTGATTCTATCGGTTTTCTCCATCACAAAAGTGTCATTCTCGTCATATTGATGCATACACTAATTCCTACTCGATTTTGAAATGGGAAGAAATAAACATTTATTTCTAGACAACTTGTTCTATTTAACATAAGATCTTGTAGAAATATGATAAGGGTATTTATATATATTTTTTATGATAAGGGTCTAGACAAATACTCTAAACAGTAGTAACAAAAAAGAGCACGATCGTCATGAGTAGCTTCTGAATGATATTAAGGAACATTATATCAACATTAGTTTTGTTGTCCACTTCCTCATGGATTACATGGTAAAGAGGGGTTCGAAGCCAAATATTTTGGTTATTAGAACACTTGAAGAAAATACGTAGAGTTTTCTATGCCATCCATCACATAAGGTACAATTAATGGAATATTTAACATTTATTTCTACATATCCTCTAAATCAAATTCTTGACTTTCGGCAATGCTTTGATCTTGAGGTGCCATTGACTGATAATCAACTGATAAGAAATTCTTATTGTAGTTTCCATTGGTTTCTACGCTTCAAATTCGTTTATGTGCTACGAGTGAATAAAAAATGTGGTATTATAGATTTCCAACACCAGTTGGATCAAACACAATGTTGACTAATAGAGAATTCTACATCTTGGTATCAGACAAAAAAAGCCAGTCACACAAAGATGGTTATGAGCATGCATCAAATGAGGTGATGAGATACTGAGCCACCTTTCATTCCAAATTAAAATATTCACATCATTTTCTATACAACACCTATCATCTGCTTCCTTCTCTCAAGATGAATTTAACGCTACAGATACTACACCATACCAAGCCTGGGTTGTGATCCACCGTTGAGCCAAAAAAATACGTGTGAGGGAAGTACTGAGCTTTGAAGATTCGTGATATAAGACTTTGCGGATCACTAAGAATATGCCACCATTGTCAATTAAAGCAAGATTGAAAGCTGTAAGATTTTTAAGCCTCATACCCCCGTAATTATTGTGCATCACCATTTTATCCCAAGACAACCAATGTACCCCTCTTGCGTGACTGATTTGACTTTCTCCTCCAGAATGAGTTCATCATTTTTTTTTTAATTTCATCAATCAGAGTACTGTAGACGGAACATGCTCCTGGAATAGGCGGGATAAATCAGATTACTTATTTAATGAGGACTTCTTTTCTTGTTCACAAAAGACATTTGCTTCTGTATCTTTAGTAAATCTAAAAAAAGAATGCTATGTTGACACCAAAAATTACACTACACCGTATATACTGTTCACCAATACGGTGAACAGTGCGAAACAGTGTCACAAACAATACTATGAACAGGACTAAAAACATTTCTGTTAATTACGATAACCGAGCAACCAATTAATTCGACACACAATATGATCAAGAACCATCGACCATATATACCAGTCTTTATCCTTACAAAGCACAAATAATGTCAATCAATTCAATCATAAGCATTATGATATATAGCTCGAGAGACATTTTACCAACTTTTCTTGTGGTTTTTGAGTTCATATTAGTGAATGAGACTTATGGAAGACATGTCATTATATAGAACGATCAACACAACTTAAAATTTGTTTGGTTTACTGAAATAAACTTGTGAATGGCGATTCTCATCCAGTTTGCAAGGACCTTAGAAATTAATTTTGTAGATGACATTACAAAGAGAAATATGACTCTTTCATAGAATGTTGCTCATCTCTCTTAAGTATAAGTTCAATATTATTAAGGTTAAAAGTGGAGAGAAAAATACCAATATATAAACATTTGAAACAGACCGTTTTTTGTAGAGCAACATCTTTATGAAAGACATATCATATATTCTCCCAAAACTTTAAGCTAATAAGTGTGTGAGTTCTCCTACTTATAAATGTTCAAGTTTCTATATTTCTGGTCAATGTATGACTATTACCCATACAACTCACACTTGTTATACTTAACACCTATGCTGAGAAAATTACTCTTCATACCTGATATGTCCAATACATTGGAAATTACTGACATCTTGTCATCTTTCCTCATAATCAGAATATCACCAATACCTTCAGCTGCTAGAGTATTGTCATTTGTAAATTTCACCATGTTCTTCATTGAGGGCTTTGTGTTGATAAACCAATCTTTCCTACCAATTATGTGTGATGAGCATTCTGATTCCAAGTATCATTGGTCTTGAATCTTTCTTCATCTCTTGTTGTGACCATCAACAACATCTCTTCTTCATGTTTCACTAGCTTTGCATCAGTTTCTTGATTCTTCTACTTTTCAGGACAATCACTAAAATAATGACCATACTTATGACAATTGTAATACTCAATGTGACTTTTCCTCTACTTGCAACATTGATTCCAAGGTTTTCTCTGATTCCGACCAATTCAATTGTTGTAGGCTCTTCTTCCTTTGTTGTCATTCCAACTTCCTTTGTCTTTCTTTTCTTTTGCTGATTGCGCATACAAAGTCATATCATTCTTTGACTTGCCTGCAGCTCTTTCAACCATACTTTGTTCTTCCGACTTTTCTATGGCTACTACCACGTGGTCAAACTTTAGAGCAAATGACCTCAAGATCTTTGCAGCTCTTTCAACCATACTTTGTTCTTCCGACTTTGATGTCAAGACTTCTCCACATACCTTGATTTGATTCTCATAATTCTGACCCCGTCGAAAAATTCCTGTTTGGATGATTTATCGCCATCGTGATTTTCTTCCCATGAATCGCTCAGTCAGTACTTTGATAAGCGTTTGGGTTCTCCCACTTATAAATGCTCAAGTGTTCATATTTCTAGCCAATGTAAGACTATTAACTATACTACTCACACTTATTACACTTAACACTTATTAGACCATTAAGAACGAAACAATTTAAAAATTTCTCAATGGATAAGGGAGAAGTGAGATTGGCATTGTCTTAGACAAATAAATAGTGGCTTATAACATCACTAATACGAGCTATTATATTGTTTTCGTTTGGAACAAACTAGAAAAAAATCAATTGTAACACTGAACAAATTAGGAGGAGTTTCAGTATGTCTTACGCTATTATCATCCACAAGAGAGTTGACTCAACTAGATTTCTTTCTAGAAGATGCAACAACATGGAAAAAAATAGTATTAAAGTTTATCTCTTAGAACTAGTGAACTTTGGCATAACAACACTAAGCGAATAGGTAGCCTTCCATATGAATGTCCAGTAATCCCGCATCCAACATAACTGATTTACGACCATTAATAAGCCAATGAGCTTTGTATGTTATGCCTTTTTTTGTCGTTGGTTGCTAAGAAATCATTGAAGTTACCAATGACACACCATACAAAGTTTAAAACTTTGAAAGTTCTCTTAGGAAATTCCAGGTTTTCTATCTCTGGTTGGCTTTTGGGAAGCTATAGAAACCAGTGAGCTGCTAATTACTTCTAACATTGCTGGTTCGACGAGTAATTTGAAATCACACAATGGACGAAGGAGTGCCATAAGAAAACCATACCTCAAACTCTACCAATACGGTCAATAATAAACAAGAATCAAAATCTAATAAAAAACAAAGTTTTTCAATTTTATTAGTGGTGACAAGATTCTCAAGAAGGAAGATAATATCTTGTTTATGCATATGGATGAAGTAAGTTAAGATACTACTTATATTTATACACAGGGATGGATCCAGAAATTTCGGTGGATATATATACTACTCTCTTTGATCTAATTTGTAAGAGACAATTTAATATTTAGATTCACTCAATAATTAATGTATTTGGCATAATATTAAATCCGATACAT